TAAATCCGGCTCGTAGAAGTTGCTAGAGAGAGAATGTATTTCCGCAGCGTATGGACTAAATGAATTGACGATGACGGATCTCGTGGTATTTGGGCACTTATAAGCGAAATGCCGCAGATTGGCACCAACCGCAGGCTGGCACGTGTCCAAATAACACCGGCATAGCAATAACTTTGGAGGGCACCTAGAGCCCCGCGCTTTTGGGGGAAGCCTAGGGGCCGCTGACGGAACTTAGAATTCGGGTCTGACGACGAACGTCGATCATAGAACCCGGGATCCCCACAGGCTGGGAGGGCAACACCAGACGAACGTCGTCGGACACAGTGCCACCGTCCATCAAGGCAACTCGCACAAATAGCGACCCCTTGTTAGTCTGTGAATCGGCTATCTAAGGTGGCGAGGGCAGGGTTAGCTCGAAAGCGTACGGCCGAAGGGGCCGAGTGCCCAAGGTACATGAGGCCTGGCTAGGCCACGGCGTTTAAGCCAGGAAATGACTACGCCCGGTGGCAAAACTACAAGTATGCTACGCGTTAGCTGGCTACGTACGGCGGGAGTACGTTGGAAGAATAAGGTACGAATACAACAACACGGCATAAAAACGAACGTTGGCAAAACATGGATTTTTATTCTTCAGCACTATCGGCTGGAAAGTACAAGTCTACACGCTACAGTCGGAGGGAAGGCTAAACTAAAATATAAATCAGCACATGTGGGGGGACGATGGCCGGCTCCCGGCATGAGTGTGCTCTTCCACCTGGGGCTCGGGCTCGGGGGTTGGGGGTTCCGGGATATCCCCCATGGCTATGGCCGCCGCTCGGCGCCTATCCCGCCTTATCTTCCCCAGGGCTTCGATCAGCAGGTCCTCTTCCGTATGGTCGGCCGGGTTGACGTCAGGGCCCAGAAGCTTCTCAAAGATGGGGAGAATGGCTTTGACCCCTTCATTATAGCCACCGGCGAAGGCGCTATCGGCAGAATCATAAAGGAATTGGCGCGATAAGGGGGAGCTCCCCATTAGCCGCACGCCGTATTTTAGACGATCCTTCGCCGGGACCTTCTCCAGGGCGTGAGAGAACACGTCTCCAAAGGCCCCAGCGCAGAAATCTTTGGCCGAGTCCATAAACTCGCCAGTATTCCGGTAACCGGAGGTATCGACGCACCATTCCGGGGTAGCACCTTTGGGGGCCGGAAGCACCGGCATAAGCTTGAAGCCGGCCTTCTCCAGACAGGCCAGTTGGGCGCCAGTTTCAGCCCGAAGGGACCGAAGCTCCTCCCTGGCTGAGACAGCCTCTTCTTCTGCCCGACGGGCGACCTCCCGAGCCTTCAAAATGGCAGCATCAGCCTTGCTCCTTATCTCCTGCAGGGCGGCCTCCCTGGCAGCCTCGGCTTGCAGCACCAACAGCCCTGACTGTAAGAAATGGGATGAACAGAAGTTAAATGACGAAACGACGGGCGTCAGGGAGACAAGATGAGTCGAATCGCGACAATACCTGGATGGCCGCTGCCAGAGCGGCGCTGGTCGCTTCAGAAGACGACCGGGGGGGCCAGTTCGAGGCCGGCCTTGGCCCCAAGCTCCCTCCAAAGCTCCTCCGCCGGCCGGCTCAGGGAGAGACCGTTGACATCTCCAACAACGGGGCCGGAGGAAGAACAGTCTCGCCCCCTCTTCGGCTTCTTCTCTGGGGCCTTCTCGTCCCCCTTCTTGGGAACCACCTTCGTTGTGACGACCGGCGGGGGGAGAGCAGATTCAGCATGATGGGGTATGGCCCCCTCATTCAGGAGAGTGGCAATCAGATGCTGCTCACCATCTGCAGTCCGACGGGCGGCGTCAGAGGCAGATGATCCGGCACCATGGGCGGCGGCTTCCCTGGCCGCTTTGGCCGCAGCCATCTTCGCCTTCCTGTTCCTCAGGCACTCGGCGTTGTCCATTTGGTCGGCGGTGAGAGGAAGACCTGCAAGAGAGAAATGCAAGAATGTGAAAAGACGAACAGGGATAGGGAGGAACACCCACCTCAGAGGACAGGACCGCCCGTGCCCCGAGACGAGCGTCCAAGGGGGGAAGGAATCCAGGAACACGGGCGGTACCTATGCCTGCTGCAGAGAGTGCCTCGGGGGTCAGTATTCTCCTATGGGGCGAATGCCGCCTTCCAGGACTTTGTTCACTTCCGCCTCCAGCTCGTCTGTCAGCACCGGCGACTCAATCTTCGGGGGGTAACCGTTCCAGCGGATTGGGAGGGGAGGACCATCGTATCTAAGGAAGAAGAGCCTATTTTTCCAATCATGGATGGAGGAAGGATAATGCTCGAACAGCTTCCTTTTCGGACGAGCGGCCACACTCAGATAACCGTCGGAATTCTGCGGGGTGACCCGGTAAAAGTAGTGAAACAGATCCAGGGATATATCGGCTTCCGCGGACGAGCAGCGCACGAGGAATGCGGAGATAAACCTGTAAGAGTTGGGCATGAACTGCGCCGGGACCGCCTGGTAGCAGTTGAAGAACTCCACGTAAAAGGGGTGGAGGGGAAACCGCAGACCGGCCTCTACGGAGTCCACATGCAGGATGATCATCCCCGGCCGTCGCCGCATGGCATGTTCAGCCCCGCTATGGCTAAAGACGAACGGGTGGGGGAAGAAGGAGGCAATCTTGTTCATGGCGACGCTAGAGAGGGATTGCCTATGCTCTAAAACACTCTTAATCTTGCAGATGTGCCTCTGCACGTCCATAGGGATACCTAAATCATGTACCTCCAGATCAGAGCCAGATTGAGCCTCATCCGCGGAATCATACCCGGCCGCACGTTCATTCAGAGGCACTGCCTCAATGGCACCTTCGGAAATGTTGGCGCCTTGCTCACTGTCAACGTGGATAGTCCCTACGGTGGACGCCGAACCTGGGTTGCCGGAAATGCTGGTCTTTCCGGAGGAACGGGAGCCAGAATTGGAGGAAGAATCAGAGCCGGAGCCCGAAGAACCAGAACTCGAACTTGAAGAGATCTCCATCGAAGTCATCACAAAAAGAAAGGGCGAGGATGAAGAGGGATAATTACCTTAAAAAACTTGAAGATGGACTTGGGAAGCTGTGATGAAAAACCCGAAGAGCGGCAAGAGAACTCGAAAGCAAAAGCCAGAAATCGGAAACCCTAGACATCGGGGGATTTCTGGTATTTATAGTGGAGGCACCCCCGGGGGGACGAATGAAGGAGCGACACGTGGCGAGGAGCGTACCCTGGCGGGAATCCAACCTGGGGAAGCGATACGCGTAATGATGACTTCCCATCGGGAGTTGCACCGTTTCGCCGCCAGCCGCCACCTCGATTCGCACGCGGTCGCCCAACTCGGGGTGCCCTTCGATCAGGTACGTCCAGTTCCCTGTGGGAAAGTACGGAAGACGGGCATCCTCCAGGAGGCACAACATACTTCCTTATGTCCCACGCACGCTTGGAACATCAGAAGTGGGGGACTTGTGTTGGGTAAATGGCCCCGAGCAGGGGTCCGGCCCAATTACCCCCAAGCCGACGTACGTCGCCCAGCCCACGGATGGCCCTGGCCTGAAGGAATGAGGACGAATGTCTATCTCCGGGATAACAGCGCAAGGTCCCGGCCGAGGGTCGGTTAGCACATCCATGACGAACGTCGTCAGCCGAGGGCCATCTCCGTAGATGGCCCAGGCCCAAAAGATTGTTACGTTCTAAGGGCCGCAGACGGACGGCCCCCGGTTCTACCAGACGATCGTGGTCAGGAATTAGGCGGGGAACCCAGATTCTGGCGGGAAGCGCATTTAATGCTGGATATTTGGTGGTTGGGCCACAGCCACTAACAATCCTCCACATCATCAGGACTAACTGCCCATTGGCGGGTATAAATAGCAGCATTTATTTCATTGTAAAGGGTTGGCAACTTTCTATTCTTAGCATTCTAGCTATTGTACTCTTACTCGCAGCATCTCTACTGCCTTGTAAGACGAACGGCCGACGTGCCCTTTTTAGCAAGTAGATTGTACTTAGGGGAGTTATTACGAAGTTAATAATACCTATTTACATTGCCTGCTATTTCCTTTGTTTCCTGATCCATCCGATAGTTGTTGGGCTAGATATTCATACATTCACTCCACTCGAAATCTTTGGGCTTACGTGTTGGGTCCAAGGGTTGAAGGAACAAACCTCAACACCAACAAACTCTCTTAAGGTTATGTTTAGGAGTGTGAAGGGGAGGAGAAAGTTTTGAAGGTTAGTCTTCGGATGGGAAGTGGAGGGAAAGGGAAAGAAACCCTCTTTGTTTGAGCGTAAAGAATTTGAAAAGATATAAATTACGAATGATATATAATTAAAATCAATTCAGATATATGATGAATTCAAGTAGTTGAATTTACGTTCATTTAAAATTGAGCTAAAGTTGTCATGTACTCCCTCCGTCCCAGAAAATTCTTCCAACTTTCCTTTTTGGGACGTCCCAGAAAATTCTTCCAACTTCACCTTTTTGATTATTTGTGTGGCTCACATTCATTTCACATTTTTCTTACACAACTACAACCACACATTTCCACTTTATTCCCACTTTCTTAAACTCCGATCCAAGTCAAACTTGGAAGAATTTTCTGGGACGGAGGGAGTAATTAGTTATCCCTTAAAATCCCCCATAATTCAAGAGAATTTGAAAATTGAGGATTTAAAGGGTTTGGAAGATTACGTATTTTCGGACTGAGAAGGTTGTTGTCAAGATTCGACGCTAGCCAGAAGAGAGTGAGAATTTAGGATGTTTTCTGTCTCATGTCAAATCAGACTTGGACAGTTATAAAATACACAGAAACTAAACTATTACCGGACCAGAACATATCAGTTCAGACCACATCAGGTCAGATCAAATTTAAATAGACCAGATCAGGCCAAACCAGCAAATTACAGTCCAGAAGAAAACATTGGTAGGCTTTAGGACTTGGTCGAATGGATCAGGCATACTTGTAATGGGCCAATAGTTTTTTTATATGGAGGCCCGGTTACACTGGATCCGTTTAGCTGCAGAGTACTCTCCCTGTAATCATCCCCAGGTACACGGCGCACAGGAAATTCCGTGGGCATCACTACCGGCGTGTTGTGATCGGAACATCTCACGATCGTTGACTTCCCGTCGTTGAACCAGCCAATCACGTTCACTATTATTTCGAATCCACAAGCTAAGCAAAGGCTGGATCCTCACCCCTCCTATCAGCTCCGCGCAGGCGTAGTCTATGTCTCTCTGCTTTTTCCTGAAGGATTCTTCAGTGAATCCCTTCTTCTCCGGTTGCTCTCCTTTAAAGAACAAATTTTTAAATACAACTTTTTTTCCTTTCAATGTTAATGGTATCTGCTGGTTTCGCTTGCTGTATTATGAAGCATTGGCTTTTGACCATATTTCTGGATGCTTGTAAGGGGATCTTATGTGCGATTAATTACTGTGATATTTTTGTTTTGTTTCTCACTTTGCTCATAGTTTTACCTTATTACGGATTCTTGTTGTTCATCCCTTTTTAATGTCTTCTTCTTCAGGAGTAATTAGGCCTTCAGGGCTAAATATTATAGTTTTTCTGTTGATGTTTTTCTTTAAGTTGAATTTATTACGGAGTACCATTTGTGCATAAATTGAAATTCGGTTTACCATTTTCTCAACTCCTTCCCAAAATATTCTTCTTGCTTACCATTTTGAAATGTCTCAAAAAAAAAATCACATTTCCCTTTTTTTTTTTAATTTTGTGTGGCTAACATTCACTTACCATCTCCCCATATAAAGCCGGTGTAAAGTTTCCAAATATGCCAACATATAATCCCATGAAGTTTATGTTTAAAAAGATCAACCATCATCTTAGATCCCGCTTCAATCCACCAAGAAATGATTTTTTTAACTGAGCAGTAGTAATTAGGAATCAAGAGTACAATGATAAAACAAATGATTCATTGTATCCGAGTGACATTTTAATAAAGGGCGTGTAGATGGTTGAAGCACCATACTAATTTGCTGAGCTTATTTGTGATAGCGAGATAGCCTTTAAGAATTTTCCATTGAAACAATTTTATCTGCAAATGTTGCTTCTTATTCCAAGCATGTTGGAATGAAAAAGTAGGGCTATCAAGATCTTTTATCTCATTATAAGCAGAAGCTAATGTAATCTGACCATCTTTTTCAGGTTTTCAAATATGATCAGGGCATGTAGAATATAAAGCAGTGGCTGTGTCATGAAGACTACAAATTCTTTTCCAAACTGGGGAATTAGTGATCCTGGGAGTCATATTACTGCCCCTAGGATATCTAGCATGAACAAAGGAAGTCCACAAAGAGGTATTAGTCTTCCATTTCCACCAAGGTTTTAACGTAAAAGCTTTTTCGATATCTGTCAGAGATCGAATTCCCAAACCACCCTCTTCAACAAGAAATCATAGTTTCTCCCATCTAGACCAGTGAACCTTTTGTTAGTCATTAGAAGAGCCCCAAATGAAGGCTTCCATTTTACTGTCAAAAATGTGCACCACTTTGATGGGTAAAGTATCTGTATCAATTGGAATAGGATACGATTCCTATTGTGCTACTCAGTGAAATTGAACAATCTTAAAGAGATTTTCTTATTAATCCTATAGTTGAAGAAAGTAGAAGGACTCCCACTGTACCAGCACCTGATTAATGATACTTTATATGAACCCCTTTTGGGATCCTAGGTTTGATGATATATATCTAGGAAGTTGGAAGTTTAAAATATGTTATGTTAGACATGATACAAAGATAAATAATTTAAAAAGCAGTCTTTTCATTAACATGCTACATAATTTCATACCATTTGAAGATGGAGCCTTTTGATTTGTTTTTTAGTGTGCTGGTTTGAAACTGAAACAAATTGTCTAAATACAGTGGATTTCGAGATTGATGGTGATTTGAATGGTGAGGTGCTGGTGGGAAGCTCTGCTATAGATGTTGAAAATTCAATTGTAGCATTTCAGGAGCAACCTGATGCTAAAAGCAACAATGACCTTCCTGGAAGGGATGTAATAGTTTCAATAGAAGAAGAAAATGAAGAAGGACAAGAGGCAGATACTACTGTGAGTAATAATTCAGTTGCAGATGAGCCTTATGTGGGTCAAGAGTTTGAATCGGAAGCAGCTGCACATGCTTTTTACAATGCGTACGCAACTAGAGTGGGTTTCATTATTCGTGTCAGCAAGCTCTCTCGGTCTAGAAAAGATGGTTCTGCCATTGGTCGAGCACTTGTTTGCAACAAAGAGGGCTTCAGGATGGCGGATAGGCGGGAAAAGGTTGTGAGGCAAAGAGCAGAAACAAGGGTTGGGTGCAGGGCTATGATTTTAGTTAGAAAAGATATCTCTGGCAAATGGCTTGTGACCAAATTTGTGAAGGAACACACTCATTCTTTAGCTCCTGGCAAAGGTCGTAGAGAGTCAATCTATGACCAATTTCCGGTTAGTTAGTTCGTGCTCCTTTATACATTAACTCTATTTTTCTGTGTGTGTGTTGTTCTATGTGTGTGGTAGATACTGCATTAGTGGGTTTTCTGGTAATTGTTACTTAAGTTCGAAAACTATGTTGACAATCAAGCATGCTTGTTTACTTTATCTTTTGCTGGGCTTAAATAATTAAATGCATGATTGTTATATTTGAATAAAGATCATAATGTCAAGCAATCCACCCATGGGAAAACACCTATGTATGAGGAAAAAGATGCACAATTAGTTGGAGTGGTGCAACAAAGAATGAAACCATATGATAGAATAGATGGCTTTTCAATGCATGATACTTGATACCTCAAAAATCTCTATGGTCTTTGATGTAAATATCTTGGATTATTTACGGGCTCTACCTCACAGAAATGTTTTCAATTCCTATGAAATGGGATATAGATATTTGTATTTTACAGCAGGATTATTATTGCTAGCACAATATCATGTTGATATCGTGGTAGGTCTTGGCTGCCAGATGACAACTTTGAAACTGCTATTTGGGAAGTAGGTATTTGAAGGTTGGTAGACAGCCTTGAGATTTTTGAAAATTATAAAAGAAACTCTTTCACCAGTCATATTTCCCACTAACAACACTCAAAGATGATAGGATATATAAATGATATTAGTAGGAATTCAGTTTTTTCAGACTAAAATGGTATCATAATTTGTTCCTCAGATTCTTTTGTGGAGGAAATGTTAAATTTTTAGCTGATAAAATGCTTTAAAAGATTAAATTCACTCTCTTATTGATATTGTTCTATTTTATAATCTTTTGGTGTTAACTGGGAAGTTTAAAGAAAAAAAGTGTTGGAGTTAGGTTTAATTTTCATGTAATAATTTTAAGAACTCGATGATCATTTGGTAATTTTACTAAACCCTTTTCGGGAGTCAGGTTTAATCAACCGTAGATGCTGTCATACCATATGCTGGTCTAGTACTCAAGTCCAACACCCATTTTCCAGGACAAACTCCAGTAAAGTCATAAAAATATGGGATTTTGAAACCCACTCTCTCCATTCAGATGCATTCCATCTTGTACTGAATATTAGCTTGCCTGGCATTTGTTATACTTGTTTTTTAAGTCTAGTAGTACTATCCGATGATACTGTTTGTTGGTTTTACTTGTGTAGAATGAACATGATAAAATCAGGGAACTTTCTCAACAACTGGCAGCCGAAAAGAAGCGGTCAGCAACTTACAAAAGACACCTAGAAATGTTATTTGAGCATATTGAGGAGCACAACCAATCTCTATCAAAGAGAATTCAAGATATCGTGGCCAATGTAAGGGAGGTGGAGAGTAGAGACCAGCAGGATCATAGATAGCTAGGCATTATCCTGCCAACACTTGTTTGGTTGTCCGAATAGGGAAAGAAGTGATCTCAAGAATGCCCTTCAGGTGAAGCAAACATCACAACTTTAGTGTCTTTTTGGTATAAACTGTTTTTTATATATTTATTCGGTATATGATTTAGAAAGAGAATCAAATGCTAAGCTCCTGTAATGTCCCATTCTGTTTCATCATGTATGTAAAAGAAATCCGTGTAGTGTAGCAATCAAATTTCATAGAAACAGGCTACCGATATTTAATGAAATTTGGATCTCAGATGAGAATGAAATCTTTAATCTCTCACATAAATTTCTTATATTTGATGCCCTTGATGTTAAACCACATGTTGTATTGTCCAGATTAACACTTGACGCAAGTGGGCTGTGGTTCAGTGGTTTCATGCATCCCTTCTGCCCTTCCCCACCAGGGTTCCAATCTCATTTGTACCAAGTTGTTCCCAAAAGCTATTATTGGACTTTTTTATATTGAACGTTTTGCAATGTTTTGTTGACTTGTGGGGATAGTCTGGTGTATGCTGCATTTTATTAGAGATAATGAGAGCATATAATAAGTTATCAACACAGTTATTTGGAATTTATAAACCATGGGGCTCAAGCATGTCAGCAGTTCTGAATTTTCTAAAGTCGCTTTAACATCAATGTCTATTAATACCATGTTCATGACTGACGTGATTTACTCGAAAATGAGTTTTCATGCCATTTACATGATTGACGTGCAAACTTATTTGATTAAGATTTGAGTTTTATACATTTGAAAAAGGTTCTTTGATGAGAAGAAGCTAGCTCATCCTCTTGAAATAATTTTCTGTTTTTTGGACTGAACAACATGTTTTTCAGTTTGTACATTTTCAATGAGTTGTTTCTCATCAGACAGAACCTAATACGGATTAATTGTTTCTCATGCTGAGGGAGGTTAGGATGAAGTTACAGGGGAGGTGTCCCCTATTTGCAGGTCTTAAATTTTGTTAATTTAAGTATTTCAAATCTCATATCATATTTAGACAGACAGAACGGGTTAGATTTTAATAGACAAAATTATAACAGTTTTAAAATACACATATACCAAAGTATATCAAACATTCAGATTAGACCAGAAGATTTCAGTTCAAGTAAAAATGTCCTTAATGTGTTTTATACGTAGTATTAGTTATCAAATCCATTGCAATTTCAAATAGCTAAATGTGTTGTTACATATTACTATATAGGGGAGAAAATATAAAGACCACGTCAACATACTCACTATGGAGCACACCAGCATGTTCACTATGAAGCAAGTTGGCATGATGAATGACCGGGTCAGTCATTCATTTAAAATAGTTAGAGAATCTTGATCATTTATCAGGTGAACATGCTCTGTAGTAAGCATTCGATCCGATGGCACCCTTTTCCGATATCTCCACTTAGATGAAGTCGAGGACTCGAGGTGGCCATGGTAGAAGTCGCAATAGAGCTTGCCTAGTCCGTGTCCCTTCTCCATGTCCAGGAATGCAATCATATACTCCATGCTATTTATCATTATGAATTTATGATCATACTTATTAGTTTTGGCGCTTAGAAAATACGAGTGTTTATGTTCCTCGATATCCTTGTGTCCGGGCTTTAAACGATAAGCCCGTTTGAGGATGTTTCGGTCAAATTTTTTGATGAAATTTTGTGAGAATGTTCATCATGAAGCGTAGAACATTCACACAAAATTTTATTTACAATTCAATTGGGAAGTTAATTAAATAAACTATTGGAAAACACAACGCTTTATGTATAAACTATAACGGACAGTATCGATATTGACTCGAAATTGATGATCAATGTAAGTTGGTTGATACCCTTGCGAAAATGCCAATGGCTACAGCCTACATTTAGTACGAGTGTAAACTATGCCAATAGGTGTAACTCAAGTGGTAGATAGAATGTGACACAAAAGGTAAGTTTCGGGTCCGATCTGGTCGCATCAAACTTCACAGAGAATAAAAATTTGCATTTCAAGTGCATTGCAAAATTTATGTCAACAAATGCTACTCAGATCTAATCGCAATATTTATATGTTATGGTGTTTTTACTTGGAATGTTTCAGTCCCAGTCTCCCAGACCAGACTTAAACAGATCAGACCAAAGCAAACCAGACTTAAACAAACCAGACTTAAACAGACCAAACCAGATCAGGCTTGACTTCCGTAGTTATAAAATACACAGAGACGAGATGTTTATCAGACCGGACCAATTCAGATCAGACTTAAATTGATCAGACCAGACTTGAACGGGCCAACAAGTTATTGTCCAAGTAAAAACATCATTAACAATACATTTTTCATTGAACATATACTACAATATGTTAGAATAAGTGTTGACAAAAAAGAATGACATTTTTCATTGAAACAATGTACTCCCTCTGTCCCCTTTATATTGTCATAGTTTCTATTCATTTAATCAACACAAATCACTCTTAATTTCTTATTTTATATATCAAAAAATTATCAAATTTGATTCAAATTTTTGCGACTTTGTAAAACTTTTAACATAGTTTCTGAATATATAATTTTAAAGATTTAAAGAGATAATAAAAAGGAGACTGATCGCAGTGGGATTCGAACCCACGACCTTAAGATTCGGAGTCTAATGCGATATCCACTCCGCTATGCAATCTCAATAGCATTAAAAATCGCTGCAACAATATATTTACCGAAAACTAAAATACTTTTGAACATCATTTCATATACGGAGCATTATGTCTTTAAAATGAAAATACTACGTAGCTATTTAGAAAACTATAGGGATCAAGGATTTTATCATACCGTGTTGTGAATTCTCTCTTTTCTTAATAAGATAAATTGAGGAGAAAGTGTGAGCACAGAAAAGAATGAGACAATAAATACTCTATAGTCTTATCTTCTCTTATGTTTCTCCCATTTTATCTTTTTTGCCAATTTTATTAATTTTACTTTATGCCATATTTGATCATATTAGATTGATCAAAAAAATATTTTCCGATGTATCAAAAAAAAATTTGATCATATTAGATTGATTATAATTCTTTTTAGTGTACTCACACATTATCAATTCAATACTTATTACGTTCTATAATATATGTCTCTCTTTCTATTTTGGGTGCTTTTTAATATTTGTCTCTCATTCCATTTTTAAAAAGCTTTTTCAATAATTATATCTATATATCCTCATTCTCTTTCCTATTTTTTCATTCAAACACAACGCACTACCCTATTATTTTTTGCTCTTAAAACTTGGACCAAACCTTATAAGGTCATCTATTGAAGAACGTAGGGAGTATTAAATATACAACTTCACTTTTTTAAATAATCCATACTATAAACATATACTCCGTATGTATGTATATATATATACACACACACACACACACATATATATATATATACATATAGAGTAATCTTCCTGTCCGGAATTTCCGGACAAGAACCCCTGTCCGGCCTACACGTATTCCGGACCAGTTAATTTGCAAAAATCATTTGACGACCTTCTCGATTGAATTTTTTGCTGAAATTTGGTATGACGGAACATACACAAAATATTTGAGCAAAAAATACCACCGGGAAGGCCCCCAAGTGGAGGAGGCCGGACGGGGGTTCTTGTCCGGAAATTCCGGACAGGAATATTCCTGTACACACACACACACACACATATATATACACACACATACACACACACACACACACACACACACACACACATATATATATACATATTACATATATATAGGGATGAGATCGCATACAAACAATGCCTCCCATACAAAATGCAAAGCGATCAGGTGCGTCCAATTTAGGCAAATCAAGAGCTGAAAACATGTTACACACCGTAACATGTGGTGTGCTGCGTAGGAGAGGGTAATGCAAAAACACAACCGCTTAGCACGTAAGGATAATAAAGTAAATTGACCAATTTTAAGGAAATCCCCAAATATGCGCTAATCCCCAATAGATTCCAACCATCCATGAATATCAAATCAAAAAAAGGAAATATCTAGAGATTTGTCCAAATAGTTAATGCACTAAGGAACGAAGGTTAAAGAAGCACGAAACTTTCGTTGTGAGCGGCAATAGCTTGATGGTCAACGAAGGACGGCGACTGTGAACATCAACGACGGTTGAAGTACCATTTGCGCTTATTGCTTCAGTCCAAGAAGAACACAATATGTGACGAAATGCTCTGGCGTGCAAAGAAGGTAAGACTTTTAATTTTTTTTTTGTATTGTTTAGATTAATACTACAATGTCGTATAGTGCACTATACAACATGAGATGCATACTACAAATGTTTTAAACGCTACTACAATGTTGTATAGTGCAGTAAATGGGTCGTGTGATGCATTTACATGTTGTACAAGGTGCATATTGTTATGTTATGTGACTAATAAGAATATTGACATCATTGAGATGCATAATTGAAAACAATTAACTATAAAAGGGACATGTGTGTTATATTGTTGGTATAGTATTATGTTAAACTTAATTAATTGCTTATGAACTCAAATATGTAGCAGACTAATATAGTGGGTGTATTACAAATATAACTGGACCAATTCAAGATTTATTTCATGAGTAGATAAACATATTATGCATATAAATGAATTTAAAAATGCATTCAAATGTGAAGAGGATTGCATATTGTAGTGTAAATTGGCTGTCAGTAAAGATATTATATAAAAACGTATTAATGAGACAACCTTTGTTTGTCCAATAGGAGAACGTATTGTGCATATCAATTTGTTTAATAATGCAGTTAAGTGTGATGAGAAGTGCATATTATAACGCATTTAGATGTGGTACTATCATAGTAGTCCGAGAAGACATCGCAAACCATGAATGCATTTATTCAGAAGAAGTACGGGCAATATCCATCGTATGTCAACACGATACAAATGCTAATATAATAATAGAAGCAATATATCAATATGAAATTGTATGAGCACATATCATACATAAACATCACATACAACAAACAAAAGTAAAGATAGATTGATTTCATCAACATGTTTACAATGTACATACCATTACCTAGGAAATCAAAATGCAGAAAAAAACTAGTACATAAGAATAATGATATTATGAAGTTATATTTGTTCAATGGACAATTCAAGCTATCGTGATCAAGCAATCCCAAGCATCTCATTATACAATCTATAGAGCTTCTTGGGACATTTGAGTCTTCAAAGTCGTCCCTTGAAAGACTTGATTCTTCTAACAGAGCACTTACTTTTAGCACGTGAAAGGGATGAAAATGATATTGGAGCTGAGAATATAGCAAGGAAG